CAGCGTGGTGCTCTCTGCCCACTGGTCAGAGGCTTGTATTTTTCTTTTCTTTATTTAATTTTAGTTTCTTTTCATGTGTATGTGTGCGTGTGTACACATATATACGTGTACATGTGTACACTTATGTGTAATTACCTAAGTGTAGTTACAGGATGAGAGCTACGCTCGTGGTGTCCCGTCTTCCCAACACTCTGTCATATAACGCTTTGAAACTACTGACGGTCTTGGCCTCCACCACCTTCTCACCTAACTTGTTCCAACCATCTACCACTGTTTGCGAAAGTGAATTTTCTTATATTTCTTCGGCATCTGTGCTTAGCTAGTTTAAATCTATGACCTCTTGTTCCTGAAGTTCCAGGTTTCAGGAAATCTTCCTATCGATTTTATCAATTCCTGTTACTATTTTGTACGTAGTGTTCATATCGCCTCTTTTTCTTCTGTCTTCTAGTTTTGTCATATTTAATGCCTCTTAACCTCTCCTCATAGCTCTTGCCCTTCAGTTCTGGGAACCACTTAGTAGCATGTCTTTGCACCTTTTCCAGTTTGTTGATGTGCTTCTTAAGATATAGGCACCACACAACCGCTGCATATTCTAGCTTTGGCCTAACAAAAGTCGTGAACAATTTCTTTAATATTTCGCCATCCATGTATTTAAAAGCAATTCTGAGGTTAGAAAGTGTAGCATAGGCTCCTCGCACAATGTTCTTAATGTGGTCCTCAGGTGACATTTTTCTATCTAGAACCACCCCTAGATCCCTTTCTTTGTCAGAATTCTTTAAAGATTTCTCACATAATTTATAGGTTGTGTGGGGTCTATGTTCTCCAATTCCACATTCCATAACATGGCATTTATTCACATTAAATTCCATTTGCCAAGTATTGCTCTATATACTTATTTTGTCCAGGTCTTCTTGAAGGGCATGTGTGTGTGTTTAGTTGTGTTTTTTTGCGGGGGTTGAGCTTTGCTCTTTCGGCCCGCCTCTCAACTGTCAATCAACTGTTTACTAACTACTTTTTTTTTTTTTTTCTCCACACCACACACACACCCCCCAGGAAGCAGCCCGTGACAGCTGACTAACTCCCAGGTACCTATTTGCTGCTAGGTAACAGGGGCACTTAGGGTGAAAGAAACTTTGCCCATTTGTTTCTGCCTCGTGCGGGAATCGAACCCGCGCCACAGAATTACGAGTCCTGCGCGCTATCCACCAGGCTACGAGGCCTGTGTGTGCACGTGTGTATGCGCATGTGTTTAATACACCTTGTGTGTGTGTGTGTGTGTGTGTGTATATTATATATATATATATATATATATATATAATTTTTCTTTCGGAAGGGGCTCCGTTCCCTTCGCTCTTGACGGGGCGCTGGGGGAGCAGCTTCCTCTGTTGGCTCTCGCATGGTCCCGCAGTTAGTGGGCATTTTTGGTTGTCTCCCGGCCTCTGGTGGAGGTGGACGGCTTCTATCCCTTTGGGGAGTTCGGGGCTGGCGGGGGTGGGCTTCTTCCCCTGCACTTCATCATGTCATCTTGATGGGTGCGCTTAGACGTGGTCGATCTGCCCCATCCTTCCGGGGTTCCCGTCTGCTCTATGCAGACACGGGCCTTGCAGATCTGCGGTTCTTCTGGACTTGTTCAATATGCGTCCTGGATTCTTTGCCCTCTTCGGAGGACTGTTGTCTCGGTCCGGCTTCTGTTGGGGCCAGGTGCCTGGATGGTGGCCCTGGACATCTGGGCCACATCTTGACACGTTCCTCTCCAGGGTTCTGGGATTGGCACAGTTGGTGGTGGGGCTTCAGGTTTGCCGCTTATGTTGTGTTCCCTGGTTTGTAATTGGCACTTGGTGTATTTACACATCCTTACCGGATCTTGGTGCCCTGTCTGCGTCTGCTCGAGATTCGGTGTCTGGTCTACCTCGACAACTGGCTGGTGTGGGCTCCCAATTGGTCTGCTTGTCTGCTCACCAAGGGTGTGGTTCTTTCCAGATCGCCAGGTTCATTTTCCTGATGATCTGGAGGCCATTCCATCTATTTCCATCCCGGCTTCGGACCTGGCTGGGTCTTGTTTAGGGCTCTTGAGCCGCTCCTTGTCTTTCCCTCCAGAAGCGTTGCTGCGGCTGAGGTCCCGCCTTCGACTGTTTATGTGGGAGGGGGTCCTGGGTCGCTCAGCGGTTGCTCGAGCGGTTCTGTGGGAGTCTGAACTTCGACGTGCTGGTCTGCCCGCAGGGTCGGGTTTGGCTTCGGCGTCTGGTTCCTTCGGGGACTTCCCTTCCGCCTCTTGCAATCGTTGGGTTCGTCCTCTGGGGATCTGTGTTGGTGCTGCGTCACCAGATTCCTCTTTGGGGTTTTTGGAGTTCCGTGCCTTGGCACCTCCCCGAGCCTTCGCTCGATGTGTTCAGGACGGGTCATCTCTCGGCTGGGGCTTTGTGACCATTGCTCACCAGGTCAGCCGTGGGTGGTGGGGTCTGTCCGTCCATCAGGCTCACAGCATGGGTCGGAAGTTCGTGGCTGTCTGGTTTGCGCTTCGGAGGGTTCGGGTCACTCAGTGCTCTACCATCCAGCTCTATTTGGACTGTTCTCCATGGTTCATTGCCGGAACCACGGGGTTTCTCCTAGGTCTTTGACCTTTGGGGTTGGTCCCTTCGAGTGGCTCGTTTGATGGATTCTCGGGGTTTGGCTAGCAGTGCGGTTCATGTCTGGGGTGTGTCCTGCATCCAGGCAGACAGCCTGTCTTGGTTCATTCCTCTGTTCGGGTGTTGGCTGGTTGTCAACAACTTGTTCGTTGGCTCTGCCGGACGTATGGACTCCTGGCCATGGACATCTTCACGTCGGTGTGGTCTTGGCATCTCCCATTCTATTTGGCGCCCTTACCCGCCTGCGAGGTGTTCACGGTGGAAGCCTTTTGGCAGGACTGGTCGAGGTGGAGAGTACCTGTTCCTCATCTCCCGGTCCAGCTATTGCTTCGGGTTCTGGCTCAGTTGGAATCCATTCCCTAGGAGAATAGATCTCGTGGTCCCTTGGTGGTCGGCCTAGCTTTATTTTCAGACGCTGGTTGAAAGGTGTCCGAACCCGGGGCGTTTTCCCATGGCTCCGCCTCTTTCGGCAGGTCGGACCGGTCCTGTACGTGACTTGTTCAGCCTTCTCCTCGGCTCTTCACGTCTGGTATTTTGACGCGAGTATATCACCATCTCTATGGTGATTAGGTGGCTTTGTTGATAGTGTCCCAGTTGCAAGCTTCGTCTCGGCGACAGTATGACGTTCCTTGTGTTTCTATTCACCATTTTCTTGCTCGTCGTAGGTTGTCTTCTCTTTCGCATCGGGTTGTCTTGTCCTTTCTTGGGTTTTCAGGACTGTTATTTCATGCTTCTTACTGTCACCTCGTTTCGTGTGGCGTTGGCGGAGCCACTCCGGCTTGCGTTTGGGATGGGCGTCACATCTGCCCCGTTCTGTACGCTTTCTAGTGTTTTGTTACACCTCCGGCCTGCTCATTCGTCGCCTGAGCCGTCCTGGTCCTTGATCATTGTGCCCTGTTATCATCATCTCCTCAGTTTGTGGTACTCCCTTTGGTTCAAGTTTGGTTTTCATAGGCCATATTTTGTTGGTATGGACCACTGCGGGTCGTGTTGGGGAGCTTCCGGCTGTCTTCTGGTTTAGTGGTTTCTGCTCTTTTGGTACTGGTGGTAGGTTTGTACATTCGCCGCCTTTCTCTGTCCTTCTGGCGACGGTCGAGAAGGTTTTTTTCTGGAGAGGTCCTTGGGTTATTGATGCTTGATTGGTTCAACAAAAAATGCCGGGGGTGCATCATTTGTTGTCCGGTTGTGGCTTTTTGCCGATACTTGTGTACTGTGACTGGGGATGCGCTTTGGGTTGATCCGGTTCCCCTCGTTTCCTGTTTCAGAGCTCGGGTCTCCGAGGTCGTCCGCTGAGTTTTTAAATCTGCCAGCCTGCGGTCTATCCTTGCGCCCGTGCCGTTCGGACGTTTGCAGCTTTCGCTGCCATGTTGGTAATGTCTTGGGCTCATTTCGGGCACGAGGATTTGGGGGTCGCAAAGGTTCCTGGCCACCCGTTCCTTATGCGCGCGTCTGCTCCTGTGCGTTCTTGTTGCCTTGGGTCGCAGGTTGCAGCCTGTTATCTCGGCTTCGCGTTGCGGAGTTTGTGGCGGCCACCTCCCGGGTCAGGCCTTTCTTTTCCTTCTCATTGGGTATGAAGCTCCAGGGAGCTGTAGAGGCTTCCCACAGAAAACCAGCATTGAATGTAATGAAACGCCATTTTCTGGGTGAGCCCCGGAGGCTCCCTAGCAATCCTCCCTCCCACCGGTCGGCATTTTTTTCGCGTTGGTTGAAGCTTAGCTTCCGAACTGATGCTAAGCAGCTGGCGTGGTGAGGTCCTGGGCTCCCCCCCTCCCCCTCTCAGGGCGGGGAGGGCTGAGCGGACGATCGGCGCATCAGTAAAGTGTGATGTTTGCTTGTTTCCTTGGGATTGTAGGGAGTTTCTACCTCTCTGTTCAGTTTTGTGTTTTAGCTTTTTACCATGTGGGGTTTGTTTTGTTATGCCTACCTTTCTGGGTGCCTAACCCCGGTCGATGGCAGATAAGGAAAACCCCATCCACTAGGTTTTCCAGGGCCATTGCTCCCTGAAACCTCTCTGAAGGGGGTCAGGTTCTGGCGCTTGTCTCTGGTAGGTCTGAACTTTTTAGCTAATGTCCCGGTCTAATGTGACATACAATATAATATATATCCCTGCCCGATAAGCTCCAGGGAGCCTCCGGGGCTCACCCAGAAAATGACGTTTCATTACATTTAAACGCTGGTGTTTTGACACTGGTAATAATATTATATCTGACCTGAAAATTTGTGTAATGACACAAAGTAAAAAAAATAAGATGGTGTTGAGATTTGTTTCTTTAATGTTTACAGCTGTTTTCTTTGTTCTTTATTACATTAAATTAGAATATTTTTCATTGATTAGCGTTTGCCTCGTCACTAACAACAAATGCTCTTTAACAGATTGTTGGTCTGAACACCAATGTCAATTTCCTTATGAGCCTGGCATCACATCCAAGTTTTGTAGCAGGTGATGTCAGCACTGACTTCATTCCTGATCACTATAACGAGTTGTTCCCAGACAAGAAGCCATCACAGCAGCTGTTTTGTCAGGTGAGTTTTATATATTAATTGTTGTGAAATCTGTGTTGTGTGTGTTTCATTTTCAAAGTTTCATTACATTCAACGTTGTTGTTTTTTTTCAAACAGTTGAGCAACTGCTCTGGGTCCTGGCCAGATTGGAGTCCTACCAGTGGAAATTGGTCCTTCTAGCTCCTTGGTGGCCAGCTCAGACTTGATTTCAGGCACTGCTTGCTCTGTGTCTGATCCCAAGCATTTCTTAACAGCTCTGCCTCTTTCAGAAGATCGGCCCAGTGACATACGTCGATGGCTTGACCTCCTGACAGCTGGGTGGACAGCATTTCGGATTCGTAGTCCTGAGGTTCCGGGTTCGATCCCCGGTGGAGGCAGAGACAAATGGGCAAAATGTTTCTTTCACCCTGATGCCCCTGTTACCTAGCAGTAAATAGGTACCTAGGAGTTAGACAGCTGCTACGGGCTGCTTCCTGGGGGTGTAACAAAAAAGAGGCCTGGTCGGGGACGGGCCGCGGGGATGCTAAGCCCTGAAATCATCTCAAGATAACCTCCTCAGTTCTTTTGCGTCTCGTATTTCTGTCGCATCTTTATCTCCATATCTGTTGTGAAGAAGTGTCTGAACTGATAGGGTCCCACTTGCACTTCTGTTCTCGGCAGCAGTGTGAGGTTTCTTGGCGCTCTTTTCAACACTTTTCCTTCATTGTTACTTTTTGGTCCCTGTTCATGTGGTACTTTCATTTCTTTCTTAAGTATTTCTTGACAGGCCTCTCTTGCTGAATCCTGTCGCCTCTTATCATGTGGCGCTGGTGGAGCTGCTGTTGCTTGTGTTAAGAGTCGATACTTCCTTGGCATCATTTCAGAAACTGTCTTGTGCATTGTTCCACCACTGTCATATTTCTGCGCTGCCTGAACCTGTTTGGTCCTTAGATTCCATTCTTTCTTTTCTTCTTGTTTTACAGTGTTTTCTTCATTCTAGGATTATTTCCCAAGGTTCTTATTATTTTTCCCATTATTTTTTTTTATCTGTTGACACTTGCTTGTGAAAGTTTTGGAAGCTGTGAAATCTACATGCTCTTCTCTGGAGATGGGGGTTTTGTTCTGTTCGCTTTGGTGGACGTTATGTTCATCTGCAACTGAATCTTGCTTTTCTGGCAAAGAATGAGTAGTTGGGTTTCCAATTGATGCTTGGTGGGGTGCATATGTGCTCTGTGTGGTGACATCTCTCTTCTCCTACCTTCATGCCACTGATTCTGCCTCAGTGGATGCTTTCTGGGTAAATCTGGTTTCCTTAGTCCCTTGTTCCAAGGCTTGTCTCTCATGTTGTCAGTAGTAATTACCTAAGTGTAATTACCTAAGTGTAGTTACAGGATGAGAGCTACGCTCGTGGTGTCCCGTCTTCCCAGCACTCTTTGTCATATAATGCTTTGAAACAACTGACGGTCTTGGCCTCCACCACCTTCTCACTTAACTTGTTCCAACCGTCTACCACTCTATTTGCGAAGGTGAATTTTCTTATATTTCTTCGGCATCTGTGTTTAGCTAGTTTAAATCTATGACCTCTTGTTCTTGAAATTCCAGGTCTCAGGAAGTCTTCCCTGTCGATTTTATCAATTCCTGTAACTATTTTGTATGTAGTGATCATATCACCTCTTTTTCTTCTGTCTTCTAGTTTTGGCATATTTAATGCTTCTAACCTCTCCTCGTAGCTCTTGCCCTTCAGTTCTGGGAGCCACTTAGTAGCATGTCTTTGCACCTTTTCCAGTTTGTTGATGTGCTTCTTAAGATATGGGCACCACACAACAGCTGCATATTCTAGCTTTGGCCTAACAAAAGTCATGAACAATTTCTTTAGTATATCGCCATCCATGTATTTAAATGCAATTCTGAAGTTAGAAAGCATAGCATAGGCTCCTTGCACAATATTCTTTATGTGGTCCTCAGGTGATAGTTTTCTATCTAGAACCACTCCTAGATCTCTTTCTTTATCAGAATTCTTTAAAGATTTCTCACATAATATATAGGTTGTGTGGGGTCTATGTTCTCCTATTCCACATTCCATAACATGACATTTATTAACATTAAATTCCATTTGCCAAGTGGTGCTCCATATACTTATTTTGTCCAGGTCATCTTGAAGGGCATGACAGTCATCTAAATTTCTTATCCTTCCTATTATCTTAGCATCATCAGCAAACATGTTCATATAATTCTGTATACCAACTGGTAGATCATTTATGTACACAATAAACATCACTGGTGCAAGAACTGAACCCTGTGGTACTCCACTTGTGACATTTCTCCATTCTGATACATTGCCTCTGATTACTGCCCTCATTTTTCTATCAGTCAGAAAATTTTTCATCCATGATAGAAGCTTACCTGTCACCCCTCCAATATTTTCCAGTTTCCAGAACAACCTCTTATGTGGAACTCTGTCGAAAGCCTTTTTTAGGTCCAGATAGATGCAGTCAACCCAACCATCTCTTTCCTGTAATATCTCTGTGGCTCGATCATAGAAACTGAGTAAATTCGATACACAGGATCTTCCAGATCGAAAACCATACTGTCTGTCTGATATTATATCATTTCTCTCTAGGTGTTCTACCCATTTAGTTTTGATTAGTTTTTCCAATACTTTCACTATTACACTTGTCAATGATACAGGTCTATAATTGAGGGGGTCTTCCCTGCTGCCACTTTTGTAGATTGGAACTATGTTAGCCTGTTTCCACCCGTCTGCTACGATTCCTGTATGCAGGGATGCCTGAAAGATCAGGTGAAGTGGAATGCTGAGCTCAGATGCACATTCTCTCAGAACCCATGGTGAAACGCCATCTGGGCCAGCTGCTTTGTTCTTACCGAGCTCCTTGAGCATTTTTTCCACTTCGTCTCTAGACACTTCTATGTGTTCTATGTTGTTCTCTGGAATTCTTATTGTATCTGGTTCCCTAAAGATTTCATTTTGTACAAACACACTTTGGAACTTTTCGTTTAGTGTTTCACACATTTCCTTTTCATCTTCCGTGAATCTATTTCCCATTTTCAACCTCTGAATATTATCCTTTACCTGCAATTTGTTGTTTATGAATTTATAGAATAGACCTGGTTCTGTTTTACATTTGTCCGCAATCCCTTTTTCAAAATTTCTTTCTGCCTCTCTCCTCACTGCCGTGTAGTTGTTTCTCGCATCTTTGTATCGCTGGTATGTTTGGGGGTTCGGCCTCTTCCTGTATTGATTCCATTTTTGTGTCTTTCGGTCTCTAGCCCTCTCGCAATTTCTATTGAACCAATCCTGTTTCCTAGTTCTGCATCTCTGTTTTGGTATAAATTTTTTTGTGCCTTTATCATATATTTCACAAAACTTGCCATACATCTCATTCACTTCCTTGCCTAGCATCAAGTCTGTCCAATTATACTCACTAAAAAAATTTCTAAGGTCACCATAATGTCCTCTCCTGAAGTCTGGTTTTTCAACTGCTTCAACCTCCTTATTTTCTTCCAGCTTATAACGCATTGCATACTTTATTCCCAAAAAGACATGGTCACTTTTACCCAAGGGAGGAAGGTACTGAATGTCAAATATCTCTTCCTCCTTCCTGGTAAATATCAAATCTAGCATGGAGGGAACGTCCCCTTCCCTCATCCTCGTAGCTTGTTTAACATGTTGATACAAGAATGTTTCCAGGATGAGGTCTACAAATTTACAGGTCCAAAAATCTTCTGTTTTAGCTTCATATGCTTCCCAGTCTATGGATTTCAAGTTGAAGTCACCGACTATCAACAGTCGTGATCTATCGTTATCCGCTCTCGCTATAATCTCTCTCATTATTGTTATAAGACCTTCACGTTTACTATCTAGCTCCTCCTTTGACCATGTGCTGCTTGGCGGTGGACTATATGCATTTATCATCATTAGTTTATCATCCTCATAGCAGATCTCTAGTAGTGCCATAGTATTTTTGTTTTCGCCAAAAATGCACCAATGCACGCTCGAAGACCCCTTTTTTCTTTGACAGGGACATGCCTCCTGTCATTCTGGATGCCAGATTTCTAGGTCTTTACATGTGTTCTTTACAGACTTCTAGGTCTTACTTTCCTTGCCACAGGCAGCCCAGCTTTGTTTGAATGAAAGCCTCTGGCTGGTGATGGAGAGCCCCCAGGTTACTCAAAGTTCAGGCTATGCAGAGCCTGAACTTTGCTTTGTGGTTTATTGATTAGGAAGGGTTTGGCTTTGGACTGTGTTGGTTTTTCCAGTTTCATCCTTTTTATCACTACAAGGACAGTTGGGCCCAGTCAATTGGCCCTTCGGTGGCTTCTGGTTCACCAGTTTCCTCCTTTGGCTTTTTGGAGTTCAGTCCGGTGGAGTCTTCCTTCTTGGGCACTCAACCTCTTTATGGATAGCTTGGCCCAGAGTTGGGGCTTTATGACCAATGCTCATTAGACTTCTCTGGATCATTGGTCTTACAACTCTGTTTATAAGTTGGAGATAGTCTGGTGTGTATTCCCTTGTTACTGTTCCAGGACCTCATCAGGTTTTTGTGGCTTTGGGTAGGGTTACATGGCACTGCTTTTCCTTTCTTCGGAAGTTTCTGGCTCCTACTCTCTTCTGCCCCTGGTGTTTCCCTTTTATTCATTGTGGTGAAGTAGCAACAGGGAGCCACTGAGGGAGTCTTCCCATAAAGTTTTTCACTCTACTTCCTAATTATTGAGAGAGAAGTGGACCAAATTTATTTTTTGGTCTCTGGAATCAACCCCAACTTTATTCACGTAAACACAGGAAGTTCACTACGTGAACTTCCTGTGTTTGTTTTTCAGGGATGTGTTGCACTCACAGATTGATGGCTCACTGCATGGAGTAACTATACAATGTAATTTCCTATTAAATTTGAGAAATTTTTTAAATTATGTTTGAAATTTCCAGACTGCACTGGCTCTAATACTGGAGGAGGAGCAGGAAGGAGTGCGTGCTATAGCTGCCTCACAAGACCCTACCTCACCTTTCAACCCTCGAACAATACCGAGGATCAATCACGTTTTTTCTCGTACCATAAATCTCAAATGTGAAAATGCAGGTAATTATTAAATGATTTAAGGCAAATAAATTTACCCTCATACATACAATAATGCATTTACTTCAAGTCTATCTGCATCATACATACAGTATTTTCAACACCTTGCTCCCCCATCTCCCTTTCAGTCTTCCCAAAAACTGTCTTGGTTAGCTTTTAAGCTCTTCTGCCTCCTATTTTATAGGGAGTAAAAATGAAACTTTGAATATAATAAAACACTTTTCTGGTAGACCCATGGTAGCTCGTGCAACTAAACCACTGGTATTACACAAATACTGTAACCCCGCGATTATCCGGGGTTCAAACATCCGGAAAACGCTCTTATACGGCCAAAATCGTGATCGGATAAAGTTATCACAATATCCGGCCAAAATGGCCACAGGAACCAGATAAAAGCTGGTTTGGCCGGATGAAAATTCGGCCATACCGTATTAATCCCATCTGTGGCTCTACACATATGGTGGAGGAGGGGGTGTGGTGAGTGGGTGGTGTCGGGAGGGTGGGAGAAGTGTGTTGGGAGAGACCACCTGGGTACAGGAATTACCATTAATTTTAGAACAATTAATCATAGCCAAAAACAAATGAAATAAGTACTAGTAATTATGTAACAACAAACAAATAAGTTTCCTAAAAGCAATGTGCACAGGCTGAAGTTTCCTTAAAAAATATTGAGAGTTTTTTTCCTCCTGGCGGCCTACATAACGTGCTATAGCTGCCCCACCCCAAGTGGACCCGTCCAACACTGGTCAACCCATGTGCGTCCATCCCTCGTGTTATACACAGTGCTGCGCCATTAGTGTAATATTTTTTTAAATAACTTTTTTATTTTCATAGTAACTTTGAACATTTTTGGCCAAGACTATGTCTGGTAGCAGCATCAATCGTTCTGGAGGTGTTAAGAGGAAGAAAGTTGTCCTAGCAATTAAAGACAAGTTACGTGTTGTTCAACCAGTGAGGTGTCACAGGCAACCAAGCGCCTTCAACAAGTGAGGCGCCACAGGCAAGCCAAGCGCCTTCAACAAGTGAGGCGCCACAGGCAAGCCAAGCGCCTTCAACAAGTGAGGCGCCACAGGCAAGCCAAGCGCCTTCAACAAGTGAGGCATAAGCAAGCGCCTTCAACAAGTGAGGCGCCACAGGCAAGCCAAGCGCCTTCAGCAAGTGAGGCGCCACAGGCAACCCAAGTGCCTTCAACAAATGAGGCGCCACAGGCAAGCCAAGCGTCTTCAACAAGTGAAGCGCAAGCAAACGCCTTCAACAAGCGAGACATCACAGGCAAGCCAAGCGCCTTCAACAAGTGAGGGCATGCAAGCGCTTCAACAAGTGAGGCGCAAGCAAGTTCCTTCAACAAGCGAGGCCTCACAGGCAACCCAAATGCCTTCAACCACTGAGGCTTCAGCAGCTGGCAGTCAAAACTAACTTTGCTTAATGAACTGTACAGTAATTTTAAGTGTTAATTTTAGTGTTGTGTTAGTATAGGTTATGTAAATTGTTAAGAATTCTTAACTTCAAGATGTGTGGCATCAATCAAGAAGACGAACACCAACAAGGTAAGTTGAGGTTTCTAGTTGAATATTTAATAATTATATGTGGTAAGGCAATTCAAATTATGTTGTTTGTAGTATAAAAATCGTTGGAAATGGTCACTTTTGGACTCGTAGGTGAAAAAGTACCATTATCTGAAAAATGTGATAATCCGGCTGGGGGTCCTTCCCATATAGTCCGGTTGATCGAGTGGAGACAGTACTACACAGATGACATAAAAATCAGCATGAAAATTACCTCGGCTGAAAACATTGAAAAACTTCAAACAGATATTAATAAAATTTTCGATTGTGCAACAGAAAATAACATGATATTTAACAGTGATAAATTCCAGGTACTCAGGTATGGGAAAAATGAGGACCTTTAACATAATACAGAGTACAAAACACAATCAAATGTGCCCATAGTAGGAAAACAGCATGTAAAGGATTTGGGAATAATGATGTCTGACGACCTAACGTTTAGGGAGCATAACCAAGCAAATATTGCGTCAGCCAGAAAAATGATCGGATGGATTACGAGAACTTTCAAATCCAGGGATCCCATCACAGTGGTTGTACTCTTCAAGTCACTTATGTTGTCCTGTCTTGAGTACTGCTCAGTACTCACTTCCCTCTTCAGAGCAGGAGAGATTGCTGAAATAGATGGAATACAGAGAACATATACGGCACGCATAGATGAGATAAAGCACCTAAATTATTGGGATCGTCTCAAAGCTCTCCAAATGTACTCACTAGAAAGAAGATGAGAGAGAGAGAGATCAAATAATATATACGTGGAAAATACTAGAGGGCTAAGTCCCAAATCTACACAGTAAAATAACAACATACTGAAGTGAACGATATGGAAGAAAATGCAGAATAGAACCAGAGAAGAGCAGAGGTGCCATAGGCACAATCAGAGAACACTATAAGCATCAGAGGTCTGCAGTTGTTCAACACCCTCCCAGCAACTTTAATTAAGAAATATTGCCCGAACAACAGTGGACATCTTCAAGAGGAAACTAGATTCTTTCCTCCAAGGAGTGCCGGACCAACCGGGCTGTGGTGGATATGTGGGCCTGTGGGCCGCTCCAAGCAACAGCCTGGTGGACCAAACTCACAAGTCAAGTCTGGCCTCAGGCCGGGCTTGGGGAGTAGAACAACTCCCAGAACCCCATCAACCAGGTATCAAATGCTTGAAGAAAATTGGGAACTGAGGTAAGCAAGGGAAATAATTGTTCCTGAGTAAATACCCTGACTATTTTGCACCTGACTGCCACCAGATGATAGCCCAAGTCACTTTTGGCCAGCATGCCACCTTCATTCACTGAATCCCTGAAACACACTAAATAAAATAAGGGAATAAGATGGGTGAATATGGGGAGCTATTGAAGGCCAATCAGAAACAAGTGTTTCATTGCATTTAGAGCTTGATTTCTGGGAGTCTTCAGATGGTCTACAAAAGCCTCTGTTTGTTGTTAGAGGAGAAATATAGATCACAGGGGTTGAATGCTGCTTATCATACCTTATCTATTGAGTTAGTGTTTTCAAATATGTAATTAATGATTAAGAATACAGTGGAACTTTGATTCAGCAAATCTCTGATTGGAACACACGCACTCCATGCCAGACTTACTCACCTAGTTTTGACAAACGAGTTCGCTGAAGTGGGGGAGATGTGTGAATGGCTTAGAATGTTGGGACTGACTTTACAGATATAGGAAACATTATTTTTATAGTTATGGGCCTTGGGAAAGGCACTGATCATATTTAAAAGCAAATTCTCTGCTTCTCTTCTGTGGGGGAGTCCCTTTGGCTCCCTGGAACTATCGGGCAAATATGCGGATCATTAGACCAGGGCATTAGTCATAGGAGCTCAGCCTACTAGGGACCATGAGCCCGGTAGGGGACTTGGGGCCCCTCAGAGAGGCACAGGGAGCAATGGCCCTGGAAAAAAAACCCTGTGGTTGGGGGTTGTTCTTATGTCATTGACCAGGGTTAGGCACCCAGAATGGTAGGCATAATAAAACAGACCCCACATGGTTAGAAAATTGCAACTGAAAACTGAACAGAGGCAGAACTCCCTCAAATCCCAAGGAAACAAACGAACGTCACACTCCATGCCTGCGTCAAGACCCCCCCCCCCCCATCCCTCCAGGTGGCAGGTGTCCTCGAGAGTACTGGGGCTGCTTGTGCTTAGGGGCATCCTTCCCTAAGTGTCCTGTGAGTACTACCCTTGCATGTTAGGCTTCCCTTCTCTGGTACGTTCGGGAACCAATTCTCTTGTGGTTTCTGCTGCTCGGCAGTTACCCCAGGCCTTGGAGCCAGCTGGGGTTTTGTGGCCTTTCTTTGGCCTTGGGTAGGGGCTGGTATCGTGCTGGTTGGGGCATCAAGGTGTTGTGCAGCCTGCCTACTTACTCAGCGGCTGGTTCCTGTTTCCTCTGTGGACGTTTAACTTTTGTGTTTTTTCTTTTGTTTTTATTTTCTTTGCATGGTGGGGGTCTGCCTGATATGGCTATAGTTCCACTTATAATATACTTGTGGCCTTCTGCTAGGCCCCAGTGATTGTGCACGTCGCTGGGGTTTCAGTGTTTTGATCTTCCTCTTGTTAGTTTTGGGTTTTAATCTGGTTAGCAACACCTTGCCCAGGCATCCCGTGCAGTCTGCCTATGGGCCCTAGGAAAACCTTGTTGGGGCACGGTAGACCTATGGATGCGTCTTCCAAGTTCCAGCCTGCCTCGTGCAGGTTCGAAAGTTGCTGTGTACCCTTGTCTCAGGGTGACAGTCACCTCTTTTGCCTCTGTCATGCTGCCTGTTGGGTCATCAACCCCTTTGACCCGGAGTCTTGCGAGTATTGTTCTCTGCTTGTTCTCCAGTACCATTCTGATGACATTACTGTTACATTACAGGCAGCATCCGCGTTGCATGCCAGGTTTAGGTTGCTGCAATGCGCTACGTTGGCTCCCACCTGGATGCCCCTGCCCCGCTTTGGTTATAGCAACCTGGACCTGGGGGCGTTAGTCGCTTCGACTTTGGCTCGGTCTGCACTCCCTGGTCCATCCCTTGTTATCTGCACCTAACCCCTCCCTCCCTCCCCCTCCCCCTTACTGCTTCTGGATCCCAAACATCTGAGGGTTTCAGAATCAGGGCAGGGTTTAGTTGGTAAGAAGACTCAGGCAGCTTCGGAGACTGCCCCTTTGGGTTTGGGGATGGAGGCATTTAAGCTGGTTCTTCCTACTGAGGCTTCTGGGTCTCATCAGCAGGCCCCCCTTCTATTCAGCCTTTCCCCTGGACTCTGCTTTTTCTTCAGGGGAAGAGGGTACGGAGGACTGCTTTGCCCTGGCTCCCAACTTAGGGGGAATCCTGGGGCTGGAGAGGAGTCGACCTGGGGGCCTTGGCATCCCCTTTGACCCCGCTTGGGTGTTGGTGCCCTTTTTGCGAGGCTTGTTGTTCAGGGGGTGGGGTTTTCTTACCCCCCTT